AGGCTGTAATTGAAAATAATGAAGCGTAATATGTACATGCATCACTTAAACACAAACCATGTTTACGTGGCAACGCGCGCATAGACATCTTACGTCACACACAAATGAGTATCACCCACAAGAAGATACAGTCTACTGCTGTGACAAGATAATTTCCACCAAGGGTCTAATTGCTCCTTTGTTCTGTATCACACAGTATTTATTAGTAGATGCTGTGTGTCTCAAGTGATTGTAGTATAATAACAGCTGCATCTGAAAGGTCCAGTCACTGTTTAATCAGTACCCCTGGATAAAACTGCACCATGAAGACCAAATAAAACTCCAAGCAATTCTGTTTAAAGGGTAAGTTAAAAGCACAAGTCAGGGGATGGATGCAAGAAAATGTCAAAGTCACTAAATATCCCTTGGACAAATAGTAGGAAAATGGCACATGCATAAATCAGCCTAGAACAGGCCATCCTTAAAAACTGAGTGACCATGCAAGAAAGAGACTAGTGAGGGCGGCCATTATTTCAAACCAAAAATTTGAAACAAAAGTCAACATTTGATCAGTTTTAATTTTTGACCATTCTTCCAGAAGCGCATTTGTGAGGTCACATGATGTTGGACTAGAAGGCCTGGCTCTCAGTCTCCGCTCTAATTAATCCCAAAGGTGTTCTATCGGGTTGAGGTCAGGGCTCTGTGCAAGCCAGTCAAGTTCATCCACACCAAACTCTCTCACCCATGTCTTTATGGACCTTGCTTTGTGCACGTAGGTGCGCTCAGTTTTTTATGACAACCTGTCTGTTTACCTGTTTGAAATAGCCAAGGCAGCATACATACTGAACAACACAATGTACAATCAAAAATCAGTTAACTTGATTAGAGAAAAGCATGTAATTATCCTATACTACATGTGTCCTACAATTGATAATTTTCTGGTTAGTTATCTGAACCCTGTTCAGGACTTCCATGTTTCCATACATAGAAGGTTTTGAGGGTCCATTGGACCCCAAGAAAGAATTCGTGCAAAATATTCGTTGGTATTCATTACAGACTTTTATACGATGTTAAATACATTTTCTGATAAGTTGACATATTTTTGGCTCCAAATGCATGACAAATGTCCCTCTTTTTATATTTAAAAATAAAATCTT